CTTTATATCTATATACAGATAGCTAGTTAAGCAAACTGGAGAGAGATGTCTGAATATAGAGGAGAGGGCAAAAGCAAGGTCCTCAAATGTTTCTTGCTTCTCAAGGAGCCAGATTTATGTGTGAGGGGACAGGCAGTCACAGATATTGCTTGATAATTTGTCTCTGGGCCTGCTCCATATTGATGACTTGTACAAGAAGCTTGAAATCCAATGGATTAATTACTTTCTAATGCTATATTCTGTATAGCTGGAAGATAAGTGGCAGTCTGTTTGGTGTTGCTTCCAACTGAGAAGTGTGTGTGCACACAAATGTGCCTAGCTTGCAGCTACCTTCGGGAATAACTGTCCTGCCTTCCAAAATTCCCTGGCTTTGGCCAGCTCCTGGCTCTCCCCATCCTTAATGTTGAAGGAGGGGGATTATAGGAGGCTGGTGCTCTGTGCATTGTTTTGCTGACCTGCCATTCCCTCTTGGTGTGACTGGGAATACATCTGCCAGGGGACCCCATGCAGCTGTCCCTCACTGCATAGCACGTGTACGTCCAGCCGTGTTTGCACCAGCTCACCTAAAGGTGTGTGTGCACTCCCTGCCCTGTGAGTGGAAGCACATCTGTCAGTGGGATGAGCTCATCAGGTGGTGAAGAGGTGACTTCATTCTGGTAATGTCTCACATTCTGGTAATGTGATGGACAATGTTTTGGTTATCTACAGAAGGTGGGGAGAAAGGAAGACCCAGGCCATGGTCTGTGAGAGTCTGTTTGGCCCACCTTGACACAAAGGTTCTGTGCTAAGGATGTGTGTTCATTAAGTATAACTGATGATCCCTGTGTTAAGGATGGTAAGCAACAAAATGCTGGGATTTATGATTAGTGCTCTTAAATGCAGTGCTTGCTTTGGATTGAAAGTCCGCAATGTTCTTTTAAAGATGTCTGACTTCTGTTTTTATTAAAGGAAATAGCCCTAAAAACTTTAAATGTGAAAAACTTGTGATGTTGTCTCTTTGTAATTGTTGAAGCAAGGAGAAGCACCAAGTTGTTTAACAATGGAAATAAAAGCGATCAGAAACTTTGTTCTCTGAAGAGGAATGCTGCTGAAAACAAGGTGGAAATGACCTTTCAGCTTTTATTGGTTGTCTGAAGAGGCCATTGAGCCTTGAACTACATGAGGCTGTTTAAGAGCACAAAACTTTGCTCTTGTGACTTGTCATTTGTTTGCAACCTGTATTGGCAGAGCAATTTGTGAGAGGATCTTATCAATTGGATCGTTCAGTTCTCTATCTACTGTTCATTTCTGTAGGCAAATAATTTCTCTGGGGTGTGGTTCAGATGGAGTTGAAATGAGCTTTCTGAAACAGATCGTTAAGTACTAGATTCAGGCCGTTCAGCAGTTTGACATGCAGGCTTAAAAACTTCTAGAAATGTTGAACAGGTTTCAAGATGTATTTCTCTTTGAAACTGTTATTTTCAATGGAAACAGTTAACTGAGCAGCCTGGTCTCTGGCGGTAGTGTGCCCTCTGCAATGTGTGCTGTTACTAAATAGCAGCCAAGTTTGGTAGAAACAGTGAATGGGGATGCATCATTTTGTTCATTCATTGCTGGGGAACCGATGAGCAAAACTGCTTTTAAATCAGGATCCTGTTCAAAGAGGGGTGTTTTTCATTTATTTATTTATTTTGTGTGTGTGTGTTTATCATTTAAAAAAAAAAATTGCCAATGAGTCACTGGAACAGAAAGAAACTGCATTTACACTCAGGTTCTAATGATTAGTGGCTTGAACTTTCATTTTTTGCACAACTTTAAACTAGTTTAGAGGGGGGAGAGAGTTTTTGATCATCCTAAAGAAGGAAGAAGAAATTAGTGACTAGAACAGCCTTGAGAAATGGACACATTTTGCTGCTTCTGTATGGTATTGTCTGAAGTTCACCATATGAGACTTGCATCTATCACACTGGAGTCCGGAGTTCCGTTCTTATTCTAAGGTGAATCACTTTGAAGAATGCTGTAGGCATTAAGTGAACAGTCTTTTATGTGAAGCCAGTGATGAAGAATTCTGTGAAAGCTGGGACTGTTTCTCGTATACTCAGGGAGGTGTACAGGTGGTGAAGTAACAATAATAACTTAGATTTTCTTGCTCCTTGTCCAGAGGAGCTTATGATAAGTGACTCATCCTATGTGCATCTGGCACATCAGGAAGGGATTTACAATGCTAGATCAGGAGATGGCTTGAGCAAGATGTGCATCATTCTGTGTAATTGTCAGTAGGAAGGAAAATGCGTGATATGATAATGTGGTATTTTCAACTATATTGCTGCTTAGGCATACTGTTACAGATAGATGCATGTCAGGTCTGTCTTCATATTTTGGGGATGTGATGAATCAGGTTATATTTATGCCTTTTCTGAACACACATAAGTGACAGCATTCCATGGTGAGTATGGTGTTTACATGGCTCCAGACAGAATACTTCTGGAACTTGTTTTGCAGTCTCACAGGACAGGGAAATCATTGGCATCCCAGGGATGTTTTATCTGTAAATGCTGCTGTTTGTGAGGAGCTTGTGCATGATTGCTGTCCTTCTGTTCATCTCCCTCTCCTCCAACTTACTATCTTTTACTGGAATATGTGAAGATCTACTTTTGCCCTGTACCTCTGTGGCTGAAAATTCTGCACTATTTCTGCTTTTGAAGTCCAAGCAGAAGAAAAGAGGCGATGTGATCAGTCCTCAGGATTTTTATCTCAGCAATGCATTTAAGCTAGAACTGGTAATTCTTCTTTATGACAATCAGCCTTGTTTCTTTTCCCTTCCATCCCCTTAATTTTCTCAACATTAGTGGTTATAGAAAGCTCTGATAGTCAGAACCTGAGATGGAGTTCTCAGCCACTTCTCAGTTTTGAGCTTTTCCATGAGATTGCAAAGCCCACTGAATTTAAATGGAGACTTCAGAGGCAAAGTTTGGTCATCAGTTCGTGCCTGAAGATTGCTGTGTAAGCATCGCTCCTTATGTATAAAGCCAAGTAATTGCTCTAAACTTTCACATACTGCTGAAATAAAACTTAGAAGCAGCTGTCAGATTTTTAAAATAAATACATAAAAGTAGGAAGGAACCGATATTTAATCAGAATGTCCCTTCTAGAGAGAAAGGTTTGTCTGTACTGAAAAATGCTGTTGGGTTTCACTGAACAAAACCTCTTAGCAGTTTTGGTTTCTGCTCTCAGTAGCAAAAGTATCAGGCCTTTTGACCTAAAGGTGGTTTTGTGGCTGGCCAAGGTTTTGTGACTGTATGGGCCTTTACTTGCTCCCTTGATCAGAAATTAGAGTCCTTGGAATTTATGAAGATGTGTAGATTTTCTGTATGTTAGAGCAAAATGTTTCCATGTGTGCTTGGCTTACGGCATAGAGGCTGCTGAGGGATGAGTCTGGAGGATTCATTAATAGACACTCCAAATGCCTTTCCTTCTGGCCTTTTGCAGAAGCTGTGACACAGAACTGAGATTTTCTTTTGTCTGTGGATCTGCTTTGGAAAATGTGTTGGGGAAGCTTCTCTTTCTGTCTTACAGGGAGTGGGAACATACTGTTGTTCGGAACTCTGAAAACATTAAAAAATGTCGTTATTGCCACATCTTGTGTAGACAGTGAGTCCATCTAAGTAATAATACTGTGGTAAATTATTTACAAAGTGTGAAATCTTTGTAATGGCTATGCTAGTGTTTTCAAAAAGTAACTTTTGACTTTCTTGCAACTTGGAAGGAGAAGAGTGACTTGTTTCTGCTGAGCTTCTGATCTACAGAGAGAGAAAAGCAGGCGATTCAAGCTTTCAGTTAGGAAATCTGCAGTAAATATTAACTTACTGTTTTTAAAATGTGATTTGTTGAGTGTGAACATTTGAGTGCTTAATTGCTTTTGTATCCTTATTGTGAAACATCTCATCTGATTTGAGAAGTTACAGAACTAAAATAGAACTAGCCATATCTGCTTGCATGTACATAGACTATGCCAAAGTGTGTATGTGGGGCAAGTGTCTAAATGGAGACGTTTGTGACTTATGCTTGTTTCTACTTCTTGAATAAATAGGTGTTAACCATACAGCTGAGAAGCTGAAATTACTAAGCAAGTTTTTTTCGTTGTTGTAGTAGTAGTTCTGCTTTTCAATTTCCAGGTAGCCATATCTTGATTGGTAACTACATAAGGTTATTACAGTAAATGTGGGCAATGATTTTTGCTAACCGGGAAAACATACTACTGAAAGACTTAGACTCTAAAAATTCTCAGTCAGTGCGCTATTTTTGTCCAGTGCAATGGGTTTTTACTATATTACAATGAACCACAGTAACTTTAATGGGATACTTTGATTCTGCATCCCTGTATAAGATACTTTCTGCATTAGAATGAAACAAATGCAGTGCAGGTTAGAGTTCTGTGATTCTGCAAGCATGCTTGAAGTTGAGTACATATGTGTCTCGACTGTATTTCAATATGGTTATTATCATGCTTATTTGTTTGCCAGGTTAAAACTTTGAATATGAACCACAGTCATGCAGGAGCTGAGAGGCAGTGAGATCATTTGGAAATACTGGAACCAAAAAGTGACCTATATTAGTGGCTGGATAGGCATTACTGCTGAAAGAGTGAATTTCTCAACCATTTTTGTAACGTGATCTTCTGAAATAACACAGCAGTAATATGTGCATAAAGGCTCTTTCCATGTTTTAGCTTTATCCCTTACTTTAGGTGATGGAAAGTAATTGTTATAGCAGTGCAATTTATTAGGGCTTACTTGGCGCAATTAAGTGAGCAAGAATCAAATGTCACCATAGGATTTGCTGTGCTAAGCATAAGTAGATCAGTGAACAAATTGTATCTCATTTAGAATAGGAAAAGCCTGTTAACTGTGCTGGGTGTAGGCCTGAAAATAATTTTCTTCATAGTAGTGGCTGGGCGAACTCATTACAGCACTGTGTGTCCTTACTGAAGAGTGCATCTTTTTCTTCATTTTCTGATTTAGATGTCGACACGTTTATTTCCCAGACCCTAAAAGGTGAAAACTTGTCCAAGAAAGCAAAGGAGAAAAGGGATATTCTTCTTAAGAAGATAAAAGATGTCAAGGCAAGGTAAGTAAGCTTTGTGGGTTTAATATGTTACGAAGTAACTTACGTGCAACGTAGTTTTCTTTTAACAACCTTTTAATAATCACTAGCAATATTATCTGTTTAGGTCTTAGTTTGTCAAATAATCAGCTTGGGTTTAGTCTTTCTATCTTGATGAATCTGCTAGGATTCAGTAAGAATCAGGAAGGTAAGGATTCGTCACATTTGAATTGCAGTGGGGCTCAGAATGCTTCAGCAAGCTTGTTACTTAGACCTCACTTTGGTGAGATTCATTAAAATATGGGAAATACAATGCATACAAAGTAGGAATGAGCTTCCTTTTGCCGTCCTCAGCTGGTGTAAAGCAGCTCTATTGGATGCTGAGTTAGTGTTACTGCACAGGCTGTTGTTTCAACTTCCTACTGGAACTGAACGAAACTGGAAGCTGTTTGTAGGTGGTAAGTTTGTTTCAACAATGTTGAGATATTAAAGTACTGTGACAGACCAAACAGTGATTTTTTTTTTGGCTTGTTTTTAAATTTAGTATGATTTCAGACACAGTTATGTTGTAACTTAACATTGATGAAAACAATTTGTCTGAAGAGATTTGGCTATAGTTTACGTGCTACAAAAATATTCTTTGCAAGATCTCTTTTTTTTTTCCAACTCAGATCTACTAGGAGATACTGTAGTACTTGCTGTTCTTTTTTTTGATTGCTGTTCCCTGAGTGTTCTCCTGCAAGTTGCTTCTGTTGGGTTCCTACTGAGCTTTACTTCGACTGCTCCTGCATCTGTGGCCACTTGGTTACAGTTTCAAACACAGCACAACCATCTGGCAAGGGCGGTGTTCTTGGTGTCCTACAAACTGTGGGAAGGCATGATATGTGCCTCAGCATTTTGTAACTGAAAATGTTTGTGCATTTCATTAGGGCTGTAAATGCTTGTGGAAGTACTTTCTCTATATATATATATATATATTTTTTTTAAGGAAGCAGGATTTTGTGTCTTTGTGCTTTCCCTTTGGATTGTTGAGCTGACTGGGACTGTACAGATGACTTGCAGATACAGCACTGCTGACTTGTTTTCTTCCATCTTATGACTCAGTCTATTTTTTTTATATGACGATGAAGTATCAAAGGTGGGAACCTGTAGTGAGGAGCTCAGCTGTCACCGAGTTCTTTCCTAGTTATTGATATGACCCTGTGATTTCACATCTTATCTTCATTTCTAATTTATCCCTGGTCTCCTCTAATAGTACTCACTCTTAGCAGTATTTTGCTGTTCATGCAGGATACAAAATGTGTGTGTAGTCACAGTCTTTGATTTTTACATCCCACATACTGTGCTGTGCCTAAGTACTGCTGCTACTTGCTGTGCAGGATTTCTTAGATTGGGCCTTTTATTTCTGTTTCTGTTTCTTCTTTCTGACTAGCCTGATAAAAGCACTAATGCTTATTGTCCATAAAGATGGTCTTAGCAGCTGTATTTTATTTGCTGGTCACTTCTAGTGAAATCTTTCACACAAGTACATGCTGCTCAAGTTGCCTTTTTACATAACTTTGCTGTGATTGTTTATCCTTATACATCAAAGCATATCCGAAGATCATTTTGTTTCTGAAGAAACAGTATTTCTTCCTATGGGATGATAGATATTTTCTTAGGCATTATGCAGATGTCTTTATATTTTTAAATGATTTTACATCTAAGTATGCGTCAGCTTTTCATTTATGGTTAATTATTAGTACTTTTCTTTGGGTTTGATAGAATACTGCAACAAAAACTATACTTCGTATATATATATATATTTTTTTCTTGCTGACCTACTGTGTTATTTTTAGGAAAGGCATAGTGGGTTTTACTTAGGAATTTTTGAAATAATTTCAGAAATCTTTTCAGTGAAAGAGACGCTTTTGTGTGTTTATATGATTAAAATATCTGAATAGATGTGTATACCTAGAATAGGCTGCCTTATCAGGTTTTGGTTTTGTTTAACTTCCTTAAAACGACTAAGCATTCTCTCTACTGCAAAAGTAAAAGGAAGATCGATTTTTAAATATAAAAAACTTGTCCAAGAATGAAACTATGAAAAAGTTTCAGCACTGAGTTTCAACCACAGAGGTTACAGAAAACTAGGAATCATTTTATAATGTTTATATTGCTGTGCATTTGCTAGCATGTATTGCATTATGTCGTTTGTTCTTCTTTTGCAGTTACCCTCAAGAATTCCAGGATAAAGGTAAATCTCATACATTTCTTCCCACTGTAGTATATTTTTGCTCCATGACAGACTGTCGTACTGGTTTTTAAACACTCAAGTATGCGTTGCTTGGCCGAGGCCGCTAGCTCCACCTGCTGAGTGAAACAGCAAAGAGCTCCCAAGTTTTAGTTCTTGCTGAGCCATCTCTGGGCTGGGTTCATTTCCTTCCTTAAATGCATCTGAGAATGCTTAGAAAAGAGTGAAGGTTAGAAAAATACCTCAGAATTTAATACAAATGGAGCTTGTTATGTCTGATTTAATTAGAGCTTAGCATTGCATGTGACTGTGATGCAGGTTTTTCCTTTTTTTTTTTTCTTTCCCCTCCCAACCCCCCCCCAAAGAACGCATATACAAAGTAATCTGCTTGGGAGATAAAATGTTAACAGAGATAATTTATTTCAACTTCTTTTAACAGTGATTGCAGAGGTCTTCAACTCCATAGTGGTATTTCTTTAACCTTTTAATAGGCTCAGCTAGTGGCAATATGATATTGGCTTTCGATCCACAGTGAATGGATGTTTTCACAGTATAGCAGGATCCCAGGCCTTTAGTTGGAGAGGAGACGATTTAGTGTGCTGGTAATGAAAACTGAAGTGTGGGTTATCTATTATCTTCTGGTGGAGTTAAGACAAAGCTGCAGAACTCAGTTCCGGCAAGACTTAGGAGTTTGTTGCTACAGTGTTGTATTCTGTAACTAAACCTGGAAGGGCTCTTATTTCCATGATGCTAATTCTTGAGGTCATGACCTATAGCCTGTGGATGCTGGTATGAGGGTCACACTGTGAGGTCAAAAAGCCTGTGCAAAGCTCTACATCTTGCACTGGCTGGGGAACTTTCTGTTTTGGAACCGGGAGGTTCGAATGTGTGGACTACTTTCTGCCTCCTGATAAAGTGAAAATATGTGAAGTCATATTCAGGCAAGTAATGTTATAACAAGGCATAACAAGTCCATACATCTCGTACTGCTTTTTAAGTCAAGTTATAGAGGTCTAACGGTTCAACTGAATGAGAAAATGCAACTTCTCAAAGTTAGCCAAGATTTTGTAAGTTCAATCTGTGGTTCTTTAAAAAGTTATGTTAATATTGTTGCTGTTTTTCCTATGTTGTGACTGAGTACCCTTACAGAAGTTTCTCTCTTCCCTTTACTGCCCAATAGAATTAAGGGTGGAAAAATCAAATGTTAATTTATGAAAAAAATGCCTAATGTGAAAGTAGGTGAATGATTGTTTAATTACAGTGCACCTGGCTTTTTGGAAAACATTTTTTTCAGAAGTTGGTAGAGAGTCACAGACTTGGATATTTATTAAAAGTAGAACTGTCTACAGAGAACAGAGTTGTTTTTTTTATAAGCTCAAGAAATTCATAATGTGTTTACTTTTCTCATTGATAACTTGATTCAGAATTTCTTCTGCAATTCAAAAAATGATTATTGAAGATAAAATTTAGTTATCTCGAGTAAAATGTGTGATTTCGTTGATATAGTTTGTAATTGCTCTGATTTGTGGAAGTTGTATTGAACATTATTGTTTTTATTAGGGTGTACTTGCTTCTGAAGAAGGATATGTTGCTGTTTTAATTTAACTTTCATAATATATATTTTAGGTTCAGATGCTGTAACTGTGTGCAGATGGTGAAGCTTGTAAATGCTGACATGTTAGATTTGTTTGGGGTTTGTTAATAAAATGAGAAGACTCTCAAGTTACACCATTGTTTTCTGCAAACAAGGATAAATTTCTTCAAATTCTTGTGCATTTGTGTGCATGAATATGAAAAATTCATGGGAAGTATGAGCCTGCTCTTATTTGCAAAATATTTGAGGGAATGTGGTTGAGTGATATGAATTGTCAGTGTAATCTCTGGAGATCAGGAAGTATATACTAAACTTTATTTGGTAGTGTCATTCTTACTTAAGGCCTGTGCAAATTAAGCATGACTCAGGTAGGTGTAGAACAAAGTACTCATCACACAGGGGTGAGCAATTGGATTCTGTGCCAGCTACTGAAGTAAAAAGCAGTGGCAGCAGCTGAATGAGGTCAACTTTTGTGCACATTGCATGCTATGTGCACACCTCTATGTTAGAAAAATGGAAAATAGAAGATTTAGAATTGAGATGTCTAGTCATCTTCTCATTTCTTCCCTGCTTCCAGAGAAAGAAGAAATACTCTCAAAATATAAAGTGAAAAAGGAATGGTGGATGAAGCAGAAATGGGATCATTGTACTGAAAGGAAATATGAAGGGGAGAAAAACCAGCAAAGCAACTCATTACGATGCACAGTTGAAACTCATATTTGCTGTTTGCTGTATCCAATTTCTCTTAATGCAAATAATAGTCTTTTTTTTTTTTTTTTTTTCAAGCTAAAAGAACGGTGAGGAACGATTCATACCATGTAGCATCATCACCGTGTATTAGTTATCTTATTATATTGACTGTTTGCAAAAATTCTGCGAGTTATCTGTCATCATTCCAGAGTCATCCAGAAGATTTTTTTGATGGCTGAAAGAAGTGGACTAACATTTTGGATATTCTTATATTTCCCATAAAATATTACTAAATGGGGCACTGGTCTCTCAAACAGCAGCTCCATCAGCTTGTAAGTTGTTCCACAAACATGTTCTGTGGACATTGCTTGTCACTCCACTTTCTTTCATGGTTACTTGTTCTCAAAGTTCCACTGGCTTTGCACATAGTGACTAGTCTGTTTGTCCAAGGTATTTTGTGTCAGCGCTTGTTGTATGGGCTTTTGCTACTAAGATACAGAATCTCACCTTCAGAAAGATAAGAATGTTTAAAATAAAAATTAGAAAAGTAGAAGTAGAAATGGAAGAGCCTGTAAGTAGAACCAGGCTTCTTAAAACTGAAATCATCCTCTTGAAAATCTCAGCCTTTCAGAAAGGGCATCTACTTCCTTACAACCAAATCGATGGAATGGAGCACTTTCTTGCATCCTCTTAAAAGTAACTTTTTTTTTCTTATGTTGCCACCTGTTTGGTCATTAAGTAGACTAGCAAATACATCCTTAGTACCCACATACTAAAAAAAGAGAAGTTCTTTAGGGGATGTGAATGCTTATGAAAATATAAGATTTAAATTAATAACACAGGAAAATAGATAACATTTGACAAAATTCAATAATCACATGTTGAAGTTTACAGTTAAGCAGAATGCTGATTTGTATTTTCAGTTTCTTCTCATGACCAATGGTATTGATATCCAAAACACGAATATTTCCACGAATCTATTATTATGTTAAGTATTTTATTCTTAGGTTAAGGAACTTATTTGAAGCTTCTTTTACTCTTACTCCAGTGTGTATATATATATTTTTGAATTTGAAGTATTTGACTCTTCTTCTAAGCAGTTTAAGCTCAACCGTAAAGCTGCAGTTGCACTCAGGATGACCTGTTCTCGATCTTAGAGGTGAGAAGGAACATGGAAACTGAGGCAGTTTTTATAGGAATTGGGTTCATTCTTAATAAGACTAATATTCCACTAAGGATATAGAAATGTGGGCTTTGTCAAAGATTGAGTTAATACAGTTTTTGGCATTTCTCTGTTTTGAGATTAATTGTATCAGTACCATGGCTGCCAAAATGTTTACTTAAAAGAACCTTGTTTTCAGCTTATGCTAAAAATAGTGCTAATGTTGGCAGAAGCATTCTGAGCCCTAGAAGCTGTACTTGTGTTTGAGGTTCACTTGCCATCTGTTCTCTACATTTATTTTAGTAATATATATTTTTAAAATCATTTTTCACACACACACACAAAAATCAGTCTGTTTGAAGTGAGACACCAAAAACACTAGCCGAATCCAGTCATAATATGGCAATTTACAGAACAAGTTCCCCTCATAAAGCTTGCAGTGCTACTCATATCTGATCTGCAACACATGACTTTGGCAGTATTTATATAGAAAAGTATGATTTGATGTTTGCTGAATTACTGCTTTTAAGTCTAATAAAGGTCCACCCTTTCATTTTCATTTTGCTTTACTTTAATGGAAGTTAAACTTATGCCTCTAGAGCATCAGTGATGTTCTGCGTGTGATTTTGGAGCACCTACAGGAAGCCTTTAAATGATTCAGATGCCTTTGTGGCTCCTGGCAGGACAGTGAGTGTCTGGAGGCTGAAACAGGGAGATAGGCAGCCTGAAAGAGTAGTGCTGTATACAGAGACTTTGCATTTTCTGTTTTGTATGGAAGTGATCTTTCTGTTTCTGACACTGTACACCGTTTTTCAGGAAATAGCAGCAGAGTTTTAGGAGTCATTTTGGAGTTGAGAAAGGGATGCAGTAGCTGGTGGTAATCAGAGCAGTGGCGGATGAGAGTTCTGTATTTTAACACAGTTGAGTTTTTCAGTCAGGAGCATAAATACATCATTAGTAGCTAACCATAACTGGGAAAGAGATGGCTTAGTTGTTATGCAGTCCTTTGAGGATCATCATGATGTATTTCTAGAGAGACTATCAGATGCAGTAAAAATGTGCCAAATATCCCTTTATCCTGGAAGTCTGGAGTGTCTCACAGTAGGCAGGTCACCGTGTTGTTCCTTTCAGCTACACACAGCTGTTGTCTGGGAAGTGTGCATGCCAAGTGCAATTTCCAGCAGCACAAGGAACATCCACCAGTGCAGCACAGAATGGTTTTATCCTGATGTGCACCATCAGAAAGGTCTGGGTACTGGGTACTCAACAAGTAAAACTTATATTGCTTTTCTTTTTTTTTTTTTTCTTTTTTTTGCTTGGTGTATATTTGCTTACAAACTGAAGGATGTTCCAGTATTTTTTAGCTGCTAGAAGATTCCTACTTGACCTTTACAGAACAAACAAGCCATTAAAAACTATCTTGTTAGCATCAGAATCTAGAAGGCAGGAATGAGTATCAAAGCAGATTGCATTGCAAAGCATACATTGAGAGAGTGGCTGTCACCAGTCATCTTGCAGAGATGGGTTCTTATGGATTGAGATGGTAGCATCCTAAAAAAATTTATTTTTAAATTAAAAATCAGCTTCAGTTATCAAGGGGCTGAAGCAGGCTTGTGCCAATTTGAAAGCAACTTTATCCAGTTATTTCTGTGCAAACCTGTGTAAGTGAAAACCTTGCATTTATTTGCATGGTGGCGTCGTGGAGCCCTTTGCTCAGCAGGCTCTTATTGCAGCAAAGGCTGGACCGAAGGCAGTTGTTGCAGCCTGCTGTGATGTGGGAGCTCGCGAATTGGCAAGAAGCAGGATGTTTTGACCTGCACATCTCTTTGTTTTCATGAGTTGCTTTATTTGAGTAATTTCGTTGTATCACTTTATATGAACTCTTTAGAAATAAAATGAGTTTTTAGTGATCTGAGAACCTCTAATGAGCAACAATGTCTTTCTTAGGCATTGGTTGAAGCATCTGAAGCATCCTGTTTGCCTTTTCTCAGTTTTAGCAGCTTAAGTAGTATCTTTAAGGCTCATTGTAATCAGACTATTGCAGATGAAAATGAATTCCTGAGTTTTTTTTTTTTTTAAAGTGGAACAATATGGTCCTGCTCATTATATTCAGGTTGTACCAAATAAACCTGTTGGAAATCTTCAAAATAGAAAACAGAGATTAAAGTGCAGCCCTTGTTACAGTTAGGAGAAGTTTTACCCAGTTCTACAGTCTTAATGTGGTATAACTTACCCTTTGGTGTACATCGTTTCCTAAATTAGTTAAGGAGCTGTAACTGAAAAGGTAGCATTTACAAGGAAAGATGTGGTTTATTTTTGTACAGATAGCATAAAATATTGATTCTACTATCAAACCTGTAAGAGGTTAGTTTAAATTGCAGAATCCCGAGAATAAGATCGGTTCACGTACATATTTTAGTTATCTATTAAGTAACTATTTATTGTAACTATTAAGTATCTACTGTTAATTAAACTTTTTTTCAAGTTCCAGATAAGTCATACAGTATTCTGGGGAAACAAGAAACTATCAATGGGCATCAGCTCCTTAACTATCCTTGTAACTACATAACAGGGACACATTCATGTCATTTCTTTGTGCAATAACTTTAGCAAAGAAGTATTTTTAAACTGATCATTAATTTTATGACCACAGAAATGAGATGCAGAATTTATGCTGTTGTCATTGGCACAAGTTCAAGGCACTACTGACATTAAGTGTGATTGTAATGGAATGGCTGCCAACTAATGAGTCTATAGACATTTCATTTGAGCATGCTTTGCTTATAGAAGTCTGATTAGGCAGTAATGCTTTCAATTATGCCAGCAAATTGCATTGGATACATTTACCTGATGCCCATTCTTGCTTTGTAGTTCAGTTTTCTATTACATAAATGCAAGTTGAATGCTTCTCTTTAATTTATTGGTGCTTTTGGGGTGTATTTTTAGGTACTTGGCACCTGAAGAGAGGAGTAGCGACTTGTGCTGCTCAACACTGACTCCTCTGACTGCTTAAGGAGTAGCAGTGATAGTTTCAAATGCAGTTTTATCTAGCCTTCTTTGGAAGGTGAGGTATAAACTGCAGTGCAGCACCTTAATGGAGGAGAATGTGGAGACAAGACAGAGATTACTCTGAGTGGGAATGCAAAGGACCCCACAGAATCAGCAGGAAGCCTCTCTGTAAACTGTCAGGAGCAATATCCTTGTGTATTAATAGCAAACACTCCTAAGGTGTCTTTTAACTGCCAAAACCCAAGGCTGATAGCCTGTACTCATTGTTTCACGTGAGCACAAAAGCTCTGTGAAACACTGCCTGTTAAAGCTGCAGAACACGTGGAGTCCGCTCTCCATCAACACGACTGCAGCTCACGATAGATGAGTGAAGGGTTACATTTCAGTGCATAATACAGACTTAAAATACTTCTGTTTAATCTAAAACAAAAACAAAAAAAGGAAGTTTTTGGCTTTAGTCCTCTGTAGCTGCAGGTTACTTGCGATTCTTTTAGTGCCTGTGACCTGTTCTCCATGTTTTTGATACACAAAAAGTTGGGGTACCTAAATATATGACTGCATGACATGGGATCTGTATATTTGTCCTGATTATCTTTCTCATCTTTTTTTCATTGTCTTCGAAGTCCTCAAGCCTTTGTTTACAATTTAACATCTAGTGAATTCTTTTATGATCTTAAAATCTTTGAAGTCATTGTATGTACCTTTTTTCCTCACAGTAACTTGTGTTATTTGAGCATTATTTTGAATTTGGATATTGTGGACTTGGATATTTGTTTTATAATAAATCTGCATTTAATGTGCACCTGATTTTTGTTCTTTCAGATACAATGTATACCTGGGAATGTACACGGGGTGCTCTAAATATGTATGTTTATATTGAAAAGCTTGTATTCTTCTAGATCATCTGGGGATTATATGAATGCTAAACACAAACGTTTACTGATTGCAAAATCCTTACCATAATTAGCAAATGCTAATTACGTAGCTTAGTGGAAGAATGGGCTAAACGTGCACCTATGGGAGTTTGTACAAAAAAATCACAACTTCTCTGAAAGAGTGCATTGCTGGCAAGGGGAAAGCCCTATGGAAATGATTCCTTTCTGTGTGCACTTCCCTGTAAGTCATGCAGAATGGCTACAGGTTCAGATATAGTGAGGCGTACTCTTACTGTTCAATCTGTGGCTTTTGATTGCTGGAGTTTGTTGATTGCTGAAGTGTTTTCCTCTAAAAACACAGCCTAATATTTTAAGTTTATTCTGCACCGAATGAGCATATAAGTGGTAAATGGGCATTTTTGACTGATAAACCAGAGATTTGAAGGTGGGTGTTGATATAAACTTAGGTTCTTTGCATTCTAGTCCAGTAAAAAATTTAGGGCAGAAAAAGAATGGAACAACTCCTGAGAGGATATGGGCTGTGATTATAATGTCTGGTCTTCTAATAAAGAGTCTATTTTGTAATTTGTGTATATTTACTATGTGTATGTATGCACAGAGAGTGAGAGGCAACTGGTCTCTTGCATGTAAGGGTAAAAGATGATAGTTGTAAATATGGCATAATCTTTTTTGTTCACATGCTCTCTGCTTTGTGGCTTTCTGTTTGGATGAAGGAGTGAATCTTGGAGACAGATAATTTACTTCTGATTGGTTTGACAGGTGTGATGAAATGCAAATATTTTGATCAGATTAACACGGGAGCTGGAGTGCTACCGGAAGTAGACTGTGTCAAAAATATATTTGGAATCAGGTTCTCATTCTAAGCAATACTTGTATGGCATTGGGACTTGAAAGGAAACTTTGCACTAAATTAATGAAAAGAAAATCAAATTTGATGTTTAGCAATTTTGGGCTACAAAAATTCCAGTAAAGCAAGAAAAAAAAAATTTCTGAAAAGAAAACATGTTGCTTTTTTTATTTTTATTTTTATTTTTTTTCAAAGAACAGGGAATAGACTGGATTTTTATATATTAAATAGAAAATAAAGGAATAAAACTCTCAGCCATAGCTAGGCAGCCAAACTGGTTTCTATGGATGCAGAGAATAATTTCACTGTGGATGGGGGTTTATTTGGGAGTTTATAAATTAGCTGTGTGGTACAGTGCTCCAAAAGAGAATATGTGAATAGAGATGCATGTCTGGAGAGCTCTGGAAAGCTTTTGCATGTGAATATAACAAAAGGAAGTGCTTAAGCAATTTTTTCCTCATACACTTTTTAAGAAAATGGAGGGCTCTTTGATCTGTTGGAGCATCAGAGTTATGATTTTGGTTTGGTGACAGTGTCAGCTTTAATTATTGGATATTTCTTATTTTCCAAGGCTGTTTCTTTAAAAACAAATAAATAATCATGTGGTTGAGGTTGTGGTTTCTTTCTAATTTTCACTTTTTTTCCCCCTATATTTCCAGTATTTTTTTTCCCTTCTGCTTCTTTGCCTAGTTGCTATGAAAGCAAACAAACCAAACTCAGAAAATACACTGCATTTCAGGGGGGTAAAATTAAATTTCGTCTTATTAAACAAGAACCTCAACTGTAGCAATTTCTCTTTATTTCCCAATATTTAATACACTCTGGTCAGCATCATGCGCTGTTCAGCTAATAACGCAACGTTTGTTTGTTTGTTTGTTGTGTTAGGGCTCTCAGTTGTTTGAGAAATTCATGGCTAGAGTGCTGCATTAAGGCACCCCTATGGGCTGGGTGCTCTTAGAAGGTGATCCTGTTTTTAGCTTCGTTGGAAGAGTACAGCACACACTGCATTCACAGGATGCCCCTAGAAAGAAGTTGAAGAAAAAAGGAAAGTGGGCAGAGGAGGACAAAGTGCTGCCAGAAGTAGTTGGGCGGGCCTCTGGAAGGAAGATGCAGCATATCCCAGATCCTCTCTACACTTAGAAATGAAAGAGTTCTTGCGTTGACACTGCCCATTTCTCTTCCTGACAGCGTTTGCTCTTGCCTACCTCTTTGCTGTGTTTTTTTTCTTTTTCCCCCACCCTGTCAGCTAAGCAGCACTGGTAGTAGGTTCGTTATAGGACAGTGTTTAAGAAAACCACTCCAACAAAATGCACTTGGCCAATTAGCATGTTGCTCCAGAACAGTAGCATTGAAATACAAGGTGACAAGGTGCATGAGGAATAGACACTTTGAAATAATAGTTAATATCCTCCTTAACAGTGAGATTCACTTATTCAGTTGTAATGAAAATACTTGCCTTTGGATTCTGTGTTTGCATGACAGACTATATTACATAGTAATGTGGGCTTTTTTTTTGACTTTTCAGAATTGGAAGATGAGGAAGAGTCAGAGAGCTCCTTTTCTTCACCTCCTGACAGTGCCTCAATAGCATCTGACCGATGTGATAAAGAGGATGAAGCACATTCTGATGGTATGTGACACTGTTTATCTTAGAATGTACTAGATTTGCCAGTTTGCTACAAACTCGTGTAATGGGTGCCTCGTGATGAGAATGTTACTGTTGGAAATCAGATAAGCAGATAAGCATCACAGCTGGGCAGTTTTCCTACCTTTACAAGAACCTTTAAAGGAACAGAAGAGCTCTCTCTAGTGGTCCTAGAGCATAGTGAAGCTGCCGCAAATTTGCATGTTTTTTTTTTTTTTTCTCAAACCCACGCTTTCTGATAACAAAACATCTTCTGTAGATGCGTATGTTTTTATAGAGATCATGGCTAAAGCAGTGTGAATATTTGTACTAACAAATTGTTTGTTAATTCAACATTATCAGATTCTTGTTTAATTTTATTGTGCTACTTAATGGCTTACTGTATTATTTATCATATAAATAATGAAACAGTTTATGTGATTGATATTTTTCTGCAAACTCCATGCAGAATAGGTTCATAAAATATTAAATTAATTATTCCTACAATGTTTCCTTGCATTGAAGTAGTCTTTTTGTGGAATGTTTTTGTTGTATACATTTTAAATTTGAGTTTGCATAAAAAGGAAAATCCATAGCTGTTTTCCACATTGTTTTGGGTTGTATTCATTAAATTTAATGCTAAATGTGGCTGTTCTGAAGACATGAATGATTGAATATTTCAGTAGCTAACAAGCTCGCTTTAGCATAGTGTCCATATTTTTGAGGTTTATTTATTGTATAAATAATATTAAAACCCTTCTATGGGTAATACAAGGCAGTAAATTAAGTATATGTACAAATAAATTAACGATGTATATTAATTTGTGGCACTGGAAGTTAGACCTGCTAGTGAATGATGTTTTCTGACATGATATGATGATCAAATTGTGCAGCTCATTCTCGAAATACAATTGCTGAATGAAAATATGCTTCCCGCAACATAGCACTCCACGTTTTATGTTATCCAGATTATTCCCTTTGGAAACATAAATTGCTTTTATGAGGTATAAAATTATGTCTATTGCAGAACAGGGATAAGTCAAGTACATGCATAAGTGATAAACCTTCTAACCACTGATTCAGAATAACAGTTTTTTTTTTTTATATATTCAGAACTCTGTAAAATGTGTAACAATAATAATCACACTTCTTTTTATATTGAGCTTGTTGCATTTTAGCAATGTGACCTTCTAAAAAAAAAAAGTAAAATCAAGCCTTTTTGCTTTCTTGTTGAAATGTAATTATCAGTCAAATTGAATATGGCTTTTAGAAAAGCCAAACTAATTTTCCAAACTACAGATGAATGCAACTTTCCATTTATTTATTTTTGCTTACAAACATAATCTCAACATTATTTCTAATTGTAACTTAATAACATGGTACTGATTGCATAAAGGGTTTCTGACAAAACTGTATGACTGTTTAATAGGAGATATGATTATATATTTGTTTCAAAACAAGTTAATCAAGAAAAAAGTGATAACGTTCATGAAACTAAATGAATAGCTGAAGAATGCTGATACCACAGTATATAAATTACTATATGATTTTGTACAGATGAATAATTAATTTTTAGTTCATTCTGGAAGCTGTGATTATGAGACTAGGTCTGGTACCCGCCCGTCGGTATCTTTGCTTATTGGTTAACGTTTTGAGTGGAAACATGGTGGGTTACATTTAAGGTGATGTTACCTGATTGTTCCTTCTACATTTTCAGAGAAATTCTCCTTGGTTACCTAGTGGAAGCTCAGAATGAGGGAAAGGTGGCAAATTTTGTCTGTAAATATTTACATTTAATTAGGAATTTTCTTCCTGTTTGAATGTCCAGTGTGCCATTTTGAGCGTTTTGATTTTAACATATATAGACCACCATTAAAACATAGCCTCATAGACCGCGTATGAAAATCCATGTTAAGAGGATCTTATAAGAGGTGAATTGATCCTCTGAGGTGCAATTTGTTTCAGTTTTCATAGGCATGATTGGGTTTGTTGAAGCTTAGTAGTTAATTTTTATTTTTTAGCAGTCTCTTAGTGCTCAATATTTAAGCCTAGTGAAGCAGCTGGATCCATAGGGTAGACACTTGGTCTGATGCAGTTACCAGTTTAGTTCAGCAGGGCTGTGCATAGGTGTAAAACCTCATTTGCATAGAATCAAGGCTCTCAGCATTAACAGAGGGGCATAACTGTAGGTAATCAAATGGAGAAGCATTCTTTATTTGAGTGTGTTTGTATTACTTTATATAAACCTTTGAAGCATGTTTGCTGTTTGAAAAACAAAAATGTGTGTATATATATATATATATATTTACCTTTATATACTTGAATTCAAGACTTCAAGATTTGTCTGACTTCTGAAAGCACTGCTGCTTGGCTTTGCCTTGTTACTGTCAAAATATAATTTGTGAAGGCACCCGCTTGGTAACAGATAAAGAATTAGTGTATTACGTGTACATTATAGTCATTGTAAAATCCCGGAGTTTTTGTGTGACCTTTGTCTAATGGTGTATTAATTACACAAGAGATAATCCATTTAACAATAAGTATGGGATAACTAAATTAGCACAGGTCACCTAAAGGCCTTTTGTCAAATCCGATTGTTATGTTGTCCTTTTGACTTTTACCTTATGGTAGGCACTAACAAAGTATCTAAACTTTGATGGATTATAAACTCTAAACATGATATGTATTTTTCATAATGCTAATGTAATTTTCTAGGTACTGAAAAGGTCAAACCCACACGTCTCTGTGTGCATTCTAAGTCTGTCTTTCCTTTTAATATTTCTTTTTCTCTGTTCCTCTGGTTCAAAAGTTCACTCCGTTCCCAAATGGCCACCTAATTTTCCAGTTATTCCCTCAAGCCATATGTGTTTTGGTTTCTTTATGGTTTATTAGGTACTGTAGGAAAGTAGCATAAGTTATATCTTCTAATGAAATTCAAGCACACTTCAGTGATGCTTTGACTTGATTGCTGGCAGCAATTAAATCACAACGAAGGAGAATGATGCATAGGCTTACATGTCCAGACACCCTACAGAAATTGGAAGAGGGATAAAGCACAACAAAACCCCAAATAAAATAACAAACCCAAACCCAAGACAGACAAAACAAAACAGCACTGCCAGGCACTCAGTTCTTAACTTGATTTTTTTTTTTTATTGGCTAACAGCCTGATTGATAGCAAAATCATAACTTGCTGTATGCTAACAGGCAGAGTTCACTTGTAGGTTATTGTGAGCTGATAAAGGGTTAGATGGAGTTTTGATTTTCACATTGGTCCTTGGTGCACCAGATTAATGGAATTTCAATGAGAGACTGGAGTAGTCACAGCTTTGTCAGAAAAACAGATGGAGATTCTATAGCTATGTCTGCTCATTAATACCAGTTGCCTGAAAGGTGTACTACTTCTCTATACAAAAGACTCAACATAATTGATTTTTGAGTGGTGTCTTTTTTCACTTATTGATGGCTAGGTTTCTTGCAACTTAAACGACAGGTTTTTGTATAGTACATTGTATTACAATGTTATGCCTTGTAATTTCTTACTCCTTTTCCATCTGTATGTTAAAGAACGTAAGTAATGGAAAATACATCTCTAGGTTCATTAGAAAGTAAAGCATGCTGAAATACATAAAAAGTGAAAAAGCAAGACTTTATGTAAAGTTGCTGGCAAACTTATTTTCAGTTGAGGGTTAATTAATAATGAAGTTGTCATATTAATGGGGAAAATGTTACTGTCTTTTATTTAATTTTCAGGTTCCTTAGGTTGATGTGAAATCTAGGTTTAGCGCCATACTGAAACTTTCTTAGACTTTAACAGTATAACCTTCTTTTATGATGCCCATTGTTTTTTTGGTTTTTTTTTTTTTTTTTTTTTTACTGTAAAACCTTTGGTTGGTGGTATAGAAACTTGATTCCATGCTAGGCAATGCCTTTACTATTAAGGAATACAACTTTTGTCATTACTGCAACTATTGTGAGTGAAGTTGTGAGTGAACCTACCACTTATGAAGAAGATATGTCTGGTTAGCTCTGCAGGGAGTGTGATTTAGTTATTACTGGATTTAGAAAGATCATAGTGAATGCTATTAAAATAATTTAGGTCACTTTCGTTTCTATGGGTAATCTAGAAATGTTGCCTTGAGCATGTGAAGATGAAGGAAGTACTAAAAATGTGTCTGAGGACTTGTATGGTCTTCAAATTATCCTATTTGACTATAGCGTATGAATAAAATATGCTTTTTTTAGTAGAAAATTCTTAAATGGAGTGAGAATGTCAGGGGATTAGGTAGGCTGAGACACTTATGGACAATTTGTAAATCTGCAGCCTTCAGTGTTTTCTAGGTAGGAACATTTTGAACCTTGTCATCCAGAGTAAAATCTTTGCAGGTTGATGGAATCACAGTGAAAAGCAAAGTGTACTAAAGAACAGCCTGAAACATGAAGAATATTTTGCAAACTCAGCTTAGATTGAAATCCACATCTCTTCTTTTAATCTCCCTTCCCAAGTTAAATGGGATACATGTGGGAACAGGTGTGTATAAATTCCCAGGTTCAAATCTATTTATTGAAGAGTGTGTTGAAATAATAGTCAAAAGATGTAAAGAAGTTCAGCTCCTTGTTGGACAGGAGAGACGTTGTAGTCAAGCAAATATATTATCCTTATCGTGCCTGAAATGATTTTTGGCAGTCACCTGTCTCATCTTTCCTAAAAATCTCTAATACTGCAACTTCACTGTCTTTCCCAGGCACTTTGTCCCAGTGCAGCACTGCACTTGCTATTAGCAGATACGTGTCCTAAATGCTTCATATCACACTATTGACATTTTACTCCCTTTTGTCCATGAAGGACACACAGTAGTTTCTTTCCTTTCTTTTCCTTTTGTCATGTATATATTCAAAGACTGAAAAGAGGCTCTGTACCTCTCCGAAATTAACTGCTGCTGAACAAGTCAAGCAACTGAACTGCTTGTTTGTTTGTTTGTTTGTTACAGGATCCATAGCAGCAA